GATGGATGGATGGATGGATGGATGGATGGATGGATGGATGGGTTGTTGGATGGGTGGATGGACTGATGGATGGGTGGATAGATGAATGTTTAGATGGGTTGGCGGGTGGATGAATGGATGGATGGGTAGGCAGATGGATGGGTGGATAGATGGATGGGTGGACTGATGAATGGGTGGACTGATGGATGGGTGGACTGATGAATGGGTGGACTGATGGATGGGTGGACTGATGGATGGGTGGACTGATGAAGGGGTGGATGAATGAGTGGGTGGATAGATGAATGGGTAGACTGACGGATGGGTGGACTGATGAATGTGTGGATGGGTTGGTGGGTGGATGGGTTCTTGGCTGGGTGCGTGGACTGATGAATGGGTGGATGAATAAGTGGGTAGATAGATGAATGGATGGACTGATGGATGGGTGGATAGATGAATGGGTGGGTGGCTGAGTGAATGAATGAATGAATGGATGGATGAATTAGTGCATGTTCCCTTACCTTCTGTGTCCTTGAGTAGCCTGGGTTGTGTCTGAGCCCCTCTGTCCCCAGGCACCAGAATTGAGCAGGGCATGCCTATGGCTAGCTTCGTATGCTGGATGAGTAGTGTGGGCAGCAGTTGTGGCACAGGGCTCATGACAAGGCTTACCTAACCCCTACCCACAGAAACTCCAGCGGGAGAAGAACCCCAGGAACCTGAACGACACCGTCAAGGAGCTGTTCAGCGTGGTGCCTGGGGACGTGGACCCCGTGCTGGAGAATGAGGCGGTGGGCTGCCGGCGCTGCGCCGTCGTGGGCAATTCGGGCAACCTGAAGGCATCGCAGTATGGTTCCCAGATAGATGAGCATGATTTTGTGCTCAGGTAAGCAGTCCTGCTCCCCCACCCCTATCCTGCTCCCCTCAGGTTCCTCCAGCCCCACCCTATTCCCAGCAGGCTCGTGCCAAGAGGCAGAGGTTCCAGACCGTAATATACCTCTTATTGATTTTAATGTAAAATGTTTTTCCACATCACCAAATTAAATAGACATTCTAGGAAGATACCTGGTTTACTCATAACCCTCCCACGTCTCTCACAAAATCTAAGGGTGCAGGAACACAGGGTGAGACACGATAAGCAGAGAGTGGCCAATATTCCCCCAGGTGTCATCAGAGTGGCTTCTTGTCCCTCTGTTCTGTGGCATAGAGTCCGAGACTACTCTTGTGGCCTCGAGGGCTCAGTGTACCTGGTGTCCACCAGGGATGCCCATGGGGAGGGTGGCAGAAGAGTCAGGCTTGGAGTTTTGTATCTGACTCTGCCCTCGGGAGCACTGCAGCCTTGGACAACCTCTCTGAGCTCGGGGATCCTTGATCATGAAGTGGGACCTGGGTGCCAGCTGGGCTTGGCTGTGGCAGTGCCTCTGAGCTCTGTTGTGATTTCTTCATGTTATCTATGAGGAGACTGAGGCCTGGAGGGTAGGGTAGTGGAGCTAGGATTAGCTTCAGGACTCAGAGGCTCACATGGTATAATGCTTGTCTCTCTCTCCCCTTCCCTCCAGGATGAACAAAGCCCCCACATTGGGGTTTGAGGCTGATGTCGGAAGCAAGACCACCCACCATCTCGTGTATCCTGAGAGCTTCAGGGAGCTGGGGGAAAATGTCAGCATGGTCCTTGTCCCCTTCAAGACCACCGACCTGCAGTGGGTGATCAGTGCCACCACCAAGGGTACCATCTCCTAGTAAGTGACCCACCCAAGGTGTCTGGATGGAAGGGTCCCACCTCCTGCAGACCACGTCCCCCAACTCTCCCACTTCCTGGCGGCCCCTCTTGCCTGCCATCACTTGATACACATCATGAGCTTGGACATTCCCCTTCCTGATGATACCCAAGTGGGATGACAAGATCTGCTTCCCCAAACCCTCAAATAGCCAACCAGCCTCCTTCAGCCAGCTTAACTCATGGACACCCCATGTGTGGCAGGGTGGGACTGTATCCAGTGTTTTCAATGTTGAGTTTTCAGAAGTACATCACCAGCCCTTTCTTTCTAGATACCTCTGAATGACTCGAACTTTGAACCTTTCAGTTAGTTAGAGTCATTTATACCAGCCAGGGACTTCCAACATCTTTGGGACCCACAGGAAGTGTGCAGGACATATAGTGCTGTCCCACCCGCCTGTTTCTGAGGTTCATACTCATGACAGTGGCCATTTGAGGATGAGGAGCTGCCAAGGGCACGGTGCCAGGAGGACTCATACTTTCTGAGTGGGTACCTGGTGTGTGTTATCTCTTGTGGTCTTCACAACAGCCCAGCAAGGTCATGGTCACTGTCTTCATTCTCCCAGTGAGGAAATAAGGCTAGGGCAAGTGGCTTACTCAAGGTTGGCCTTCACTGCGTACACCCCACACTCTTCCTGAAAAATAGCAGTTGTTTCGGTGTCCAAGGTTCCCAAAGTCTCCCTCCGTAGGGAGGTTGGGTTTCCTGGAAGCAGAACCTGAGGCAAAGATTCAGAGACAGGCTCCAAGGAGAAGGGAGAGAGAAGGCAACAAGATGGCACAGGGAGGAGCTGAGCCAGGGCACCTCTGGTCTGCTGTCATGGCAGCTAGACCCCACGCTCTCTCTGGAGCAGGACTGATCACAGGAGTCCATCCTCCATGCCACCAGGTGGTCAGGACTTTAGATCTTGATGCTGCATGTCACCTCCCTGCAGAGAAAGGGCCCTCTGTAGTCACCATTGGTCAATGTCCCCAGCAACTCTGACCCCTTACAGGGACAGGTACTTACAGACCTCCACTCAGGCTGCTTGAAGAACAGGGGACCAATTCCTTGGCAACCTTTCTGAGAAAGTAGGTAGACCAGTACAATTTTTCCAGTTAGCCAACACTGCTTCCTAGTGTTTATTATGAGGTATGGTTAGCTAAAGCTGACAGGAGGAAACTTGCCTGGACTCAGTGGTAATGACCCTGAGAATTGGGGGAGGGGGGAGGGTTCTTGCTCATGCAGCTCCCATCTCCCCCCACCCCACGCATTAACCCCTTCCTTTCTCTTCTTGCAGCACCTATGCCCCTGTCCCCGCAAAGATCAAGGTGAAAAAGGAGAAGGTGCGTTGATCCTTAAACCTTAAACCTGTTTTATATTGTGGTATAAGCCCTCTTGGTACAATAGTGAGCAACTATCTGATAACCAAAAGGTCAGTGGTTCAAATCCACCTGTCACTCCCAAGATAGGAAGACCTTGCAATCTGCTTCCGTAAACACTACAACCTTGGAAACCCCATGGGACATTCTGTCCTGTGGAGTCCTGGTGTGGTGCTGTATGTAGGGTAAGCCCTGGACCACAGGTCTGTTTTAACCAAAAGGTTGGTGGTTCAAACCTACCAGTGACTCCTTGGAAACTCTATACAGGGGTCGCTATGAGTCAGAACTCACTCTGTGGCACCTAACAACAATATAGGGTCACTGTGTGGCCCTGGTGTAGTGCTTTAGGATAAGCATTGGATTGCTATCTGCAAGATCAGCAGTTGAAACCCAACTGCTCCTCAGAAACCCTATACAGGGTCACTCTGGGTTGTCATTGAGTGGTTGGCAATGGATTTGGGTTTTGGTATATATAAAGATCATATATGGAGTCCAGGTGTGGCGCTGTGGGCTAAGGCGTCAGACTGCAAAGTCGTTTGAACTGAAAGGTTGGTGGTTCAAGCTCACCAGCTACTCCTTGGAAACCCTATACAGGGTCGCAATGGGTCAGAATCGACTTGACGGCACTTAACAACAACAATATATACTAGAAACTCCATGGAGCAGCTCTACTCTGTCCCTATGAGTCATAGAGTCTCTATGAGTTGAGTTGACATCTATGTATCAAAACCTTGGCTGTCCTAACTTTTTCACTTTCAGTTCAGTCACTTGAATTATGATCACTGTGTTGTGCAACCATCGCCCAAGTCCCTTTCCACATTGTTCCATCAGTCAGCCAACGCCAGATGTCCCTGGCTCAGTGACGACATCCCCTTCCCTCCCGCCCCTGGTGGCCACCGCTGAACTCTGCTCTCTGATCAGCTACCTTCGCCAATGTTTCATGTGCATGGGGCTGTGCAGTATCAGTCCTTCTGTGACAGACCTGTCTTCCTCATTCTTGTCAGGCCTTGTCCACCTCCCCCACTAGAATGTAAGCTCCCAGAATGGCAGGTGGATTTGTCACCTGGCTCACTGCATGTCCCCGCGGCTGTGACAGTGTGTGGCACTGGTCTCACTCACTCTGTGTTCTTCCTCACTCTGCAGATCCTCATCTACCACCCGGCCTTCATCAAGTACGTCTTTGACCACTGGCTGCAAGGTCATGGACGGTACCCATCCACCGGCATCCTCTCTGTCATCTTCTCCCTGCACATCTGTGATGAGGTGGGTCCACTTGGTATAGAGGCGCCCCAATCCCTGTACCCAGGAGATAGGGCGGGGGCCGCAGTGACAGAGTCCGGGATCTGGCTGACCAGGATCCTCCTGCCCTTTGGGGTGCAGATTTCATACCATTATAGCAGCCTTTGCAGATGGGCTCATGCCTGTGAAGGTGAGGGTAGGAGGCAATGCTCCCACCCTCTGCTGAGGCAGGGCCAGATCTGGGGTCACAAGAAGGAGCAGGTCCCAGGAGGGAACGCTGCAACATCGGTGGTCTTCCATCATGCTTTTGCATTCAAATCTTCCGCAGAGCTTTAAAAACTCCCGGTGCCCCTGCCCAGCCCTGACCCAATCTCATCAGAATTGCTGGGTGTAGGAACCAGACATCTGTGCCTTTTAAAGGTACCAAGAGGTTCCTCTTGGTAGAAACATGGTGGCTCCATGTGATAAGCACTGGACTGCACACCACAAGGTCCATGGGTTCGAGTCTGCCAGTCACTCCATGAGGGAAAGATGAGGCTTTCTATTCCCACAAAGATTCAAAGTCTCTGAAAGCCTACACAGACAGTGTTGCTCTGAGTTGGAACCAACTTGATGGCACTTAACAACAACAACACGGCGGTTCCTCCGTAGTCCAAGGTTTCTCATTACGCATGAGTCAGAACCGACTCCATAGCACACCACTACCACCACCCACGTGGAAGGCTTTGGACTGGGTTTTACTTAAACTCACCTTAGCATTCCCAAGTCCCTGGGAGTTCAAGGGACATAAAACAGAGATTTTATGAATTCCTGGAAATGGTACTCACAGCACCGCCTGAGATGCCTACTGCTGCTGGAGTAAAAATACCACAAGAGAGTGGCTTTAAAGAACTAACGTTTGTTTTCTCAGTGTTCAGGAGGCTACATGCTAGTATTCGGAGCGTGGTCAAGGGAAGGTCCTATTGTATCGATTTCCGCTGCTTGGCATTCCAGTGTCTGTCATCGACCTTCCTCTTCCTGTTCTGTGAGCCTCTGTGTCTGTTCTGCTCATTTTCTAGCTCAGAAATGATTAGGTTTCGAGCCCACCCTACTCTGGCTGTTGTTGTTGTGTGCCGTTGAGTTGGTTCCGACTCATAGTGACCCTGTACAGGGTCTCCAAGGCTGTAAATCTTTATAGGAGCAGAAAGTCTCATCTTTCTCTCACGTCTCATCTTTCTCTCGCAGAACAGCTGGTAGTTTCAAACTGTTGACATTGTGGTTCGCAGCCCGATTCATAACCGTTACGCCTACTTTGGGAGGAGTCCTATAATATAAGCATTGGACAGCTAACCACAAGGTCCGTGGTTCAAACCCACCTTAGAAACCCTATAGAGGGTCATTTTGAGTCAGAACTGACTCAACAGCCTTAAGTTAACTACTACACTGGTATGACCTCCAGCCAGAGTCAGATTCACAGATACGGGCTTAGGATTTCAATACACATTTTGGGAGACATAACCCAGGGAGCCTCGGACTCTGGACATGCCTGCAGAACCCCCTTGTCAGAGGCTCATCTGCAGCCCCGTGGTCTAATCTCACCTTTACTCCACCCTCCCTCCACCCCCAGGTGAACTTGTATGGCTTCGGGGCAGACAGCAAAGGGAACTGGCACCACTACTGGGAAAACAACCTGTCGGCAGGCGCTTTCCGCAAGACAGGGGTGCATGACGGGGACTTCGAGTCCAATGTCACTGCCACCTTGGCCTCCATCCACAAGATTCACATCTTCAAGGGGAGATGATGCTGGGAAGGGTCAGGACCCCTGCACCAATGTCTCCTCGCCACCTTGCTGGAGCTGACCAGAGGCCCCTTGCAGCCATGTGCTCCCTAGTTTGGGCCAGTATCTACTCACAGGGTCATGGGACTCTGCCAGGCTTCAGAGAGAACATGGCCCTCAAGGCTGGGGAAGGTGAGGAAGGTGAGGGTCACTCCCACTACTGCAAAACCACAATGGTTTCCCAAGGCCAGAGGATCAAATCCTGAAGATTCCCTATTCCCAGGGAAAGGACTGTTTCCCTTGAGGACAGATGAAGCAGCCCCCCAGCCAGGAGTCCTGCTGACTTTCACTCTGCAGCCCTCCCCAAGGCATTCCTGAGTGAGGACTTCTAGAACAGAGCCACCTGCCTGCTGAGTGAGACGGGACCTTCATTTCTGGGGATGAAACATCTTCCCTTTCTTGCCTGAATCTCACTTACGATGCCCAGAAGACCTCCCCACCCCCAAAGTCCTTCCCAGAAACTTTGCAAGGTAGTTTCGGCTCCAGGAGACATTGTCCCACCAAACATGCTCCTTCAAGTCACCCACCTTGTATTCATCATGATGTCTGAGAGCAGGTTGGACTCCTTCCTTGTGCCTTCTTATTTGGGAAGGAAATGCGTCGGGGTGGGCAGGGGCTGAGAGGAGGAAAGGGACATCCACCCTCAGCCATGCATGCCTTGGAGATGGGCACATCGTTTCCCTTCGCAGTACCCATTGAAACAAAACTCTGAAGGTTTGCATCCAGCCTCCGGCAGAAGACCCTCAACCACAAAAAGCCCATTTATGGTTAAAGACACTTGAGTTAAGTGTGGTGCCCAGGACCTTCCCACACCATGCAGAGGGCATCTTCCCCATGAGCTCAGACTCTGGCCAACTCCGCGGTGTTCAGGGGCTGGAAGGTGGGCCCAAGGGACAGTAATTGACAGCAGGACATGCCATACCTCATCCCCGCGCTCCCCCATGGAGTCTCCTTCCTCTCCAACCTTCCTGATTATTTATTGATTTCTTTTTTAATTCAACTGACATTTTGTGCACACCATGGCTCAGTTGCTTCACCAGGCAGCTGGGCCTCGGAAGCTTTAAGAGGGGGGTTGCATGGACCCTCAGACATGGGGGTGGGGGGAAGTCACATGGCAACAGGTCGGAGGTTTGTGGTGTGCTCTGTGCCTTGTCTTCTAGCCCATACCCTGTCTTTCTAGCTGTGGACTTGGATTCCGCTCCAGGCTAGGAATGTCCTCAAACTCAGCAAAACCTCCTCGGGGCCCATGGTGGGTGGGGAGCTAGGAGTGGTCTTCTCCATGTTCTCTCAGGTCATCAGAAGAACCACGTCTCCCATTGGAAACCTCTTCTAAGAAGCCGTTGCTCCTTGGAGAGGTGCAAGGGTTTCCTGGTGGACCTCTCTGCTCTTTGGAAGGTTCTGCCCCCACCTGCCTGGACACCTCCCTCTGGAAACCCGAAGGGATGGCAGAAGCCAGGCCCGTGATCACAAGCTTAGAGGGCTGCAGTCCCTAGAAATTAGAGGCCAAGCTTTCTGAGGTTTTTAGTTTGTTTGTGTCCATTTTTAGTCTGGGCATCTGAGCATGTTTCTGGGGAGAGGTTCCATCACTTTCATTTGCCAAGAGGTCCAGGATCCAGAAAATGTTTACTAAAATTGAAAAAGCATCCAACTTTACACTACTCCAAATGATAAGGCTGTCTTGAGGGATGAAGACCTCTGCATGCCGGAGGGGCCCATTCTGAACACAAACCCTCAAAGGCCAGAATGTTCAGGGGTCCTGGGTGTGAAGTACTCAGGGAAAGCCTTTGAGATCCTGGATACCTCCCTGCTTCCTAAAAGCCACATCTATTTAGGGACAAGAGGTTCAGACTGAGCTACCTCCTTACGTGGGTTTTCCCAAGTGAGAAAGACAGGGTTCTGAAACTGTGAGCTTCTTCTGGATCTTTGTCCACTCTCTCTCTCCCCCTCCTACAACATTGATGCTGACAGAGACCTCCCAGCCTCCCATTGTACAGATGAGAAAACCAAGGCCAGAGAAGGAAAATGTCTTACAACACTGCACCAGTCCTGACAGATAATACCATTCAAACAGGCTTTGATCACAAATAGGATGTTCATGGTTCCGTTTTTACGATGTTTAGAGGTGAATTTTCCAAAAATGTTACCAGAGTGTAGGCTCAGCCTCCCACCACTGAGCTTCACCCTCAGGAAGTCCTGTCTACACCATCACCACCAATACCTTCCTGTGGATGAGAGAGTGTTCAAGTTTCCCCAAAACCTCAGCGAACGTCTGTTTCAGTGGCTTAGTCATGAGCGTGTAACCAAATTAAAGCCAGCCATTGTGTCAGAGACAAAATGCTCCATATTGACCTAAGTCTTCACAGGCGTTAGGATAGCTGAGGGTCAGATAAGGGAGGGGGCAGCAGAATGGTGGGAATGTTCCTGCATCCGAGATGCTGCCCAGCCCCAGGGTTCTCTCCACTTTACAGGCAGGGACTTTCTTGGGGACCAGCCCTGGACCCTGGGCAGAGGCAATGGAGTCCCCATTCCTATCGTCAGCCTCAATGTGGCCCTTGAGATGTTAGCCACATGCTAATGGGCCAGGCTGGTGCCCCCTGCTCCCCCATCCTCTTCTCTCTTTTCCCATTAGGGGAGAAAGGAGGCAGGCCTGTAGTCTCTGGCTCTGTGGAAGGATTAGGGAAATAAAGAAAATTCTGACACTCTAGCCTTGTCCAGCAAGTCCTATGGGTTGGCGTAGAAGATGCCTGTACAAACTAATGTGGCATTCTGATTCAATAGCAACCCTGTATAGGGTTTCTGAAGAGCGGCTGGTGGGTTTGAACCTCCAACCTCATGGTTAACGGTACAGTGCTTTAACTACAGCACCACACCAGGAGGCAGACAATATGGAAACCAGGCAAACAGGTGGGCCCAGTTCTGCATGGTCAGGAGGGACCGATAAAGGTCAAGTCTGTCTCCACATGACTTGGACCACAGGTGGAATGTTCTGGATCCTAGAGGATACTTAGAACCGTGATGTTGGCTGTAACTGTTCTCCTGAAGGCGGCCTGAACACAAAGAAAAATAGAAAATAGAAAAGAACTCCTATTCCCTCCCATAGTTAGGATCCAACACACTTTCTCCAGGGACGTCCACACCCAGTGCCAACCACTGAGCACCATCCAAGTGCCATGAAGTTCATGTAACTCTCGTCCCAAGAGTCAGAGATAGGACTACATGTCCCCAGAAGTCCTCGTCTTGTCTGTCCTGGAAACGCCACCTCTCCCAGCCCAGAGACTTAGAGACTTGTCAGTGCAGTAAGATAAAGAGGGATACAGTCTAGTGCTACTGTAACAAAGGCCTCAAAGGGGTGGCTTTAAGGAACAGGAATGTATTTCTTCACAGTTCTGGAGGCTCTAGTCAGGGTCTCAGCTGTGTTAACTCTTACTTCGAGACTCTTGAGTTTCTGGTGTCTGTGATAGTCCCTTGCTTGTATTCCTCTGTGTGTGCCTCCATGTCTGTTCTTGTCTTTTTATAACTGAGAAGTGATGACGTTTAGGGCCCACTTTGCAAACAGGATCGCATCCACAGGGACAGGATTGGTTAGGATTTCAGCATGCATTTTGGGGGACACAATTCAGCGCAGCACAAAGTTGGGAGTAGAGGCAGCTGAAAGGGGCAGAGGCATGTCACAGTGGGTCACTGTAGGGACGTTATCAACCTTGTTTTTCTTACAGAAGAGCACTGAAATTTCTTTAAGAAGCAAGCTTGCCCTGAGCTGCCTTTTTCCCTCCTATCCCACCCGATGTCAGGCACACATGTTGAAAGCAAGCCTGTCACTCAGCCCTCTTCCAGAGTTCAAGATGAACCCCCTGCACACAGTCCTAAGCCAAGTCTGTGTTAGGAACCCCCACTCATCAGAATGGGCTAGGCCTCACCCCGTCTGCACACTCATCTCGGCACCTCCCAGAATCCAAAGTCAAAGTTTCTTGCGCACTTTTTTCTTCTTTGCCTTCTTGTTTGTTTGTGGTTGGTGGATTGAAATCTGTGTTCTCGCTCCCCCTTGCCTCTTTTGTGTCTGTTTTGAAGCTGAGTGTTTTTGAATGACATTGGTGAAGGCTGAACTTCCTCCTCCCTGCTCTGTTTTATTTATTGTTAAGCATTTCCAATGATCACAATCAACATGAATAAAGAGATGAACTATTTTATCCATTGGGTGTGACTGCCGTGTAGTTACTACCAGGCTGGGCTTTGCTGTTGCCCTTACTGTCTGCGTCACAGAAATCTCAGCTATAAAGCAGTGCGACATTTCATCTGCTGAGATGTAGGCTCCCACTTGTTACTGTCCATACCTTCCACAGGACCAGACGCTCACGGGATGGAGCATCAAGCACTGGCATCTGAGAGACATCTCCTCAAATGCAGCTCTGTGCTGTGTTAGTATGCCAAGTCATCTAACCTCTCTGAACCTCAACTGCCTCATGTGTGAAACAGGCCTAGCACAACTGACCTTCACAGGGGATGTGAGCTCAAGAATGGAAAACATCGAACTCTCAGGATCCCAAGTAAATAAACCAGTCAGAGAGCTTAAAGTTAGGCGCTGGGTTGAGGCACCCTGGACAATGAATAGAGGTGTCCCATACTGCTGGGACTCTCAGCTGTGCTCCAGACCCTGGTCCTTTGGAGGTGAGTGGTATTGCTTGGTTCAACACGGAGGAGCCTGCCCACTTTGGGGGAAGGCAAAACTGGGACCCACCAACCTAGTGCTGCTTAAGATTGGCCACCAGAGGGCGCAGTGGGTCCACCACTTATCCTCAATGGTTGTGTGTCTCCTTCCCAACAGATTCCTTCTCAGGAACCGCAACAACAAATACATATATACATATATTTTCCCCAATCATGTCTTTAATAAAAATAAATATATATTCATATATATATATATATATTGCTCCATCCCCTTGAATCTAAGCAACCTCGATGACTCC